GATATTATGGGGGTCTTGGACACGTGCTCAGAACTGCCCAGGGTGTGGAGGGGGTGAGTGGGCCCTGCTGCATCAGCCTGGCCAGGGCACAGGGAGATCTCCAGGGCAGGAGCTGCTTCCTCTGATTTTTTTGAGCAAGTGCAAACACAGCTGAACCCCAGAGAGGCAAATGACCATGAGCTGTGGTTAGGGCAGCACTGCAAATTCAGCACAGGGCAAGAATGCAGGGGGGGTTTGCTGGGAGGAGGTGACACTGCTGGGGTGACTGACCCACTGAAGCCCAGCCCAGAGCCATGGGCTGCCCTGCCTGCAGCCCCCAGGGACAGCTCAGGGCCCCCAGGGCACCTCCCTGCCCATTGTGCACAGACAGAGATGCACACACACCTCAGAACCCTCTGGGAGAACACCTGGAAAAGGTCTGGGAGGGCTCAGTCAGTTTTGAACTGTAACTCCTGTTTAACAATTGAAAGTGTAAATAGGGATGACTGTGAAAAGAGCCTTTTTATCCACAGAAAGCTCCAAGACCCACCTGGCTCAGCCCCTCTGAAGGAGTGGAGGTGCTTAGTGTGACTCCACCACACTGCCAGGGGACTGGTCTGAGAGCAGCTCAAGGATTTGAGGAAAGGCCAGCACAGCTTAAACTTGTCTGCTGGCAGTGTCCTGCAGAAACCACACCACAGGGGAGAAATGGGCTACAACAATCCCCTCTGCTGCCCTGCCTGGCCACTGCCCAGGCTAAGGTGAGAACAGCCCTGCTATGGCTAGCAGTTAAAGAAAATAACAATTTTTTGCCAGCTCACCTGGGTCACACCCACATTCACCCTGCTATGGTGAGTCAGTGAGCTCACACCACCCACGGCAGGAGGAAATGCCCAGAGTGGGAGTGATGATAACCAGAACCCAAATCTCAATGAACCATTAAGGAAAAACATTGCAGAAAGCCCCTGAGATCCATGCAGGTTCCTTGGGCACACACATCAGGCAGCTCTGGCAGCACACTGCTGGTTATCAGTGCTGTAAATCAAAGCAGAATTAGCATAATTTTTCAGGTCTGGGGTTTGTTTTTTACTGAGGTCATAAACAAGCTGATAACACCGGGGGGTTTTTTACACCACATTGTAATTGTGTTGGCAGCCTAATTTTCAACACTGTGCTCACCTATGCTCAGTCACAACCGTGTTAATGCCAACTTTCTTCGAAAGAAAACCAAATTGTTCCAGGAGCAAATCTGAATTCAGTGATATTTCTGTCAATCCAGTGGGCTGCCTTTCCTTCTGCCTTCCTTAGGAGACAATCATTGCCTGCTGGGACTTTATGCATAGATTGCTAACTTGCTGTGCATAAGCTGATGCAAAGAATGAGCTTTGTAATTTAAATAACAGACTGTGCAATTGGTGACAGACACACACGGTCATTCACCCAGTGGCAGAAATCTGACAGTGAAGGCTCCAGCATGACGGAGGAGAAATATATTGCTTTTTCAGGGAGCAGACACACAGCCTGCAGCCATGGACATCTCTTGGAGGACACCATATGCAAAATGAAGCAGATCCCCCCAAAACAAAAGGGTTTACACATATCCTGCTCAGAGCAGAGGGGCCTCCTGTTCTGTGCTGCTTACTCCCATTCCACCTGGCTGGATCTTCAGTCTGCATGCAAAGTGAAGACGTTCCTTGCTAGGAGATTGGAGAAATAAAGTGGGCTTTGGTAAAATGCTGCTGGTGGCTCCATGATCCCTGAGAGGGGCAGCTGGGGAGGATTCATCAGCTCAGGAAGGACAGCCCCTCTCTGCCAGGCAGGGTCACAGCCACCAACAATTCCTGCATCATCACTGGGCTCCCTCAGCCTCCAAACTGCGCCTTTTGCCCCTGGACACAGTGATTTACACCCTGAGCCACTGGTGCTGTGTCCCACAGTCCCCCTGAGTGCACTGAGCATCCTGGGGACCCTCAGCTGGAGCAGTGCAAGGGGAGCAGCCCTGGGAAACACCCTGTGCAAAGCAGGGTCACGCTGCAGAGCCAATACCTGCTCAGGTAAAATAAACCTCCCTAATCTGGTATATCTCATTTGCATAACAACAAAGTCTTTGTTTTGGGTTTTTTTAAGGTTTATAAATACCTTTTCTTTTTTCGAAAAGAAACAAAGTCTCTGACAAGGCCTTTCATCATAAAATCAGTACAAACAATATTATAATACATTAGACTTGGAAATTACAACCTGTGATTATGCATCAACTAATTAAATTAGTACTGACAGTTTTCAAAGTGTAGGAGAAAAAGGCAAAATACATCTCTTGCTTTCAGGGATGATTTTTCCTGGAAGAAGTGAAGACAGACGAGCTGTGAGTGCTTTCTATCTGGGAATGAGGATTCACACAGGAAACTCCCACACCTGAAACACAACCTCTGCTGATGCTTGCCAGGAAATCCATTTCACAAGTGGGAGCTAAGGCTGGTCAGCAATGAGGAATAAGCAGTAAGTGAAAGCCCTGCTTCTAATGAAACCCAGGGAATTTGCCCTAGAAAAGACCAGGTACAGCTCCTGTGCCACTGAGCAGGAGCCAGCAGCCTTCTGGAAACAGATTGAGTTTCACTGTTCAGGAAGATGAAAGCCTTCACTTGGCTGAGAAACAGCATAAAAACAATTCACAAACGAGCAAGACAGAGTGTATTTATGCATAAGTAGCATTAATAGCCTTTGAGGGCTCTTTTAATAATTTAGGGTTGCTATGCAACACACAGGTCCAAACATGATTCCAGCAGCAGCAGAACTGAGCAGCTCCTCTGGTGGCTTTTACAGCACCTGGAGGGAGCCTGCACAGCGACTGGGCTGCACTCAGCAGGCTCCAAACTGCCCAGGGCCAAGGGAACAGGATAAAAGGCAGCCCCTGTAGAGTCAGTGCTCTGAGGAGCTGCCCACGAGAAACATCAGGAAGATATGAAACTTTTGTGATAAGGAGACAACAGCATGGGACCTCTGCAATAAGATGACAACAATTGGAGACCTTGGCGTGATTTGGCAAAAAGGACTTAAATACTGAACTATATGACCCCGTGGATTTGGGAAAAAGGACTTAAGCGTCAACCATTGTGGTCCCGTGGTGATTCAGGAAAGAAGACTCAAACATTAAACAACGTGATCCCATGGTGATCTGGGTAGAGAACTGCATGGGGAAAAGTAAGAAGGGGAGAATTTACTAAAGCAACTGTACAAACTGGAAAAAGAATAGTTCTATTATTCAGCACTGTGTGTTTATTGACTGGTGAAATATATTAATTGCAGCTATTAATGTTTGCTAAGCATGAGTATAAAAGATTTTGAAGATAAGTACTTTGTAAACTGAGAAAAGCTGCAAAACTGAACCAACACTTAGAAATATATATTCATACTGTAATATGTTGTCTGAACATTTGTATAACTATTAGTTCTAAACGAAATATATGAATGTGTCATAATATTAATTTAGTTGAACATGGCCTTCTAGAAATGCTGCAACTCCGTAATTAAAAGAAAAAGGGGAATTGTAGGGTGATAGAATATAAGAAAATAAAGAAAATAAATCTTACCCCTAAGGAGTTGCAGCTGGGCCAATTATCAAAGATTGTGAACAGGCCTGACTTTAACAGGCCACAGCTTTAAGCAGTGAGAAGAAGATGCTATAAAAGAGTGGGGTGGCTGGGTGAGAAGGGGTCTGGAGTCAGTTGGCTGTTTTGTGAAGAAGAAAGAGTCAGCGCTCTGAGGAGGTGCCCACAAGAAAACACAAAAACGGTATGAAACCTTTGTAATAAGGAGACAACAGCATGGATCCCCTGCACTAAGATGACAAAAATTTCCCCAGAGCTCTCACCTGGGCTATCAGGAGGTGCAGATCCATCAGGTTTAAAACATCCAACTTTCAAAGCCAACTTTCTGTCCTCTAGTACACATCAGATAAACAAACCCAGCATAGAACAAATCCAACCTGTACTAAAAAAACTCCTGCAGCCAGCAAGTATCTCCTGCATATTTTATCCTGTAATCCACTGCACTAATACTTAACCACCACACCAAGCAGGTGGAAGTTTGAGGGCCATTGAGCACCGTGAATTTTCCCAATGCATCACAATTACCAAAACACCTGTGCTAAATAACTTTGCGCTGAGGCACTGTGAAAATTCACAGAGTGCTCAATAGCCCTTGAAATTTCTCATTTCTACCTGGCAGCAGAGTGGCTGAGCACTCACACATCACCCAGCACACACAGACACCGGAGCAGGACCTCGGAAAGGCCTTTTCTCCTCGGCAGGATGTTCTGCCATCCCTGGGATTTGCAGGCTGCTCCTACTTTGTCTCTGCAATTACACTCGCTGTGAGCTGGTGAAGTCTGTGTGAGCAGGCTGGGCACAGCCGGGCTCCCCTGTCCCTGCTCCCCAGCCCAGCACAGCTGCCTGTCCCAGGCCCTCCCTTCTCCTGTGGCAGGGCCAGGGTAGAGGCAGGAGAACACAGCGGCCATGACAGACTGAACCCCAGCTCAGGACGGCCTCTCCCCACAGCCCCTGCCCGGCTCCTGCACACCCAGAGAGGGACCCAGGGCTCGGCTTCCCTCGGGGCTCAGCGGCAGCTCGGGACAGGCCAGGCCCTGGCTGAGCCGGGCTGAACTGGTTTGAACCGGTCGGAACCAGGATGAACTCGTTTGAACCAGTCAGAACCAGTCGGAACTGGTTTAAAACGGTTGGGACAGGTCAGAACTGGTTTGAACTGGTCGAAACCGGTTGGAAGCTCTGGCGGGGATCTCCAGGTGCTCAATGCATTCCATCTGTCCCTGTCCCTGATCAGAGATGTCTCTGCAGTGAGCAGCAGGGCCCTCACATAGGGAGCAGTAAGCAGAGGTTCTGCACTCTGGCAGTCCAAAGCATCTCCAGCTGCAGTGGCTACAAACCAAAGGCATTTCTACAGGGAAATCAAATCGCTCTTGGTGCAGAACTGAGGTCATTCATTACTCAGTGGAATAATTTACCTGAGGATGACACATTCTCTGTCACTTCAGCTCCTTAGGTTGGACCTCTGTGGGACATCTGAACTCCACCCGAGCACCTTCGTTTTGAAGGCTGGAAAGGCAAGGGGAAGTGTTGCAGGAGAAATTGTTAGTGCAGGCTCTTGGGGCTCCTGCATGTCACCATGTGTCCCCAGAGCCCAGCAGTGCCAGGCTGTGTCCTGCTCTGTGCCCTTTGCTGCTCTAACGGAGCAGGACAGCAGCAGAACATCTGCTCACGGGTGGGGTGAGCGTGGCCGCTCTGTCCCCTCTGCCATCCCCACTGCGGGACAGGAGCTGCCCAAAGCACAGCTGCCAGGCTGGGATGGGTTCCACATCCTCCCTGCTCCCCAGCTTGTATTGCTTTCCATTGTGGGCACAGGCAGCAGCTCCCCTGGACAGGTCCATGGCTCATTTTACAACCATAACAGCTCTTGGTTTCCACCCCTGAGCAAGAGTCACCCAAGCAGCCCCTTGGAAACCTGGGGCTCGCTGCTGCCTCTTCACACACTTCTTCCCAGCCAAAATGCAATCAGAAAGAGGAACAGGTTTGCTCTGTCTCTCCCCAGCTCATTAGGCTGATCAAACATTGCCTGTGCAAGCCTGGGATGAATTTGGGCCAACAAGGAAAGAGGTTTTGCCTGCCTTGTAGGTCTACAGAATGGACTCCCTGCTTTTCACTGCTTCCCAAAGACCCTTCCTCTGCCCCATGGATGTGACAGTGATTTGGTTAATCCAGAAATGGGTACAATGACATCTCACCAGCCACTTCCAGTTCATCTGTGGGACTGCCCAACCTCAGCTTCTCTCTAACAGCTCCACCACTTACTTGTAAAATGTTGCCATGATAATGAAGTTGAACTTCTATAGCAAATCTGTTGATACAAGTACTATAAACCTAATTTTCAGGGTTGCTTAGCTCATTGCTAAAAGGTTCACTGCATCTCTAGCAACCTCCAGCTGAAATCCAGATTATTTTTCAAGAGATTACTTTTTAGAAGCCTGAGGCTTTTATGTTACTTCTTGTATTTTAGAAAAGACATGTTGTGGAGCCCTTGACACAAATAGGAGGTGAAGTTCAATGGTCCCAATTTAAATGTGTTTTAGAGTTAGTGATGTTTAAATATGGTTATTTTTGATACATTAGCATAAGAATGTGGGGACAAAAGCCCAATTTTTCTCATGAGGTTTTCTAGGAATTAGACACTTCTGATTATAAAATTATACAAATGCATCAATTCAGTAACACTAAGTGAAATAATTTAAAAACTCAAACAAACAAAAGAGAAAGGAGCAAATCACATATAGACACAAACACAAATCACATACAGACACAAACACAATCACATACACACAAACAGAATCACATACACACAAACAGACAGGGGGGTTGAAACCTGGCTGGACAGGCACAACATCCCCCTTTGCCTCAGAGCTCCATCACCCACAGACTCATCCAAACCAGGGGCAAAAGAACCACCAACACCAAGCTCTGGAAAAGTAACTTCCTGCTAAATCCCCAATTAATGAGGCTGCCTGGCAGATTCTCATCTCCACAAAAAAATCCCAAGGCCCCCTGACTGTCCACTCACAGCATGCACGAGGGCTCAGGAGTATTGGAATATTTACCAATATTGCCGTGGACGTGTCTGAGCTTGTCTGGCCCTTGCTGCTGAACCAAATAGCGGCACTGTGATGTTTTCACCCCAAAGACACCTTTGGCTGGCTGGGTGCTGCAGCTGGGCACTTGGGGACAAGGCCAGGCTTGCAGGAGCTCAGGTTTGCCTTGGTGGAGAAGCTTTAAGGCGATGGTGAAGGAAAGGAGTTGGTTCTGATGGAGGGTTTGGATCCAGAGCTTTATTCCTGGCCCACAGGCCTCTGAATCCAGCAACAGCTCCAACAGAACTCTTTAACCATGTGGTTGCTGTTCCTTTTAACCCAGGGGAAAGGGGCAGGGAAGGGGTAGAAATCCCACTAACCAGGTACAGGAGGGGAGGTCTTAAGGGACAAAGGACACCTGGATGGCCCAATGTCCCCCCAGGGGTAGGGGGCATCCTTTGAATCTGCCTAATCCCTTCTGGAATGCCAGGATTGACAGACTGCTGGGAGGGGAAAAGAGAGGAGGCTGACACACCTGGGGAAGGAATCTTCAGGGAGAAACCCGGGATGTCTGAGGCAAACCATGGCATCACACTGCAACATATGAGCCCAGCTGAGCTCCAGATGCCCCTGATGAGCCCCACTCTGAGCTGGGACTCTGCAGGGCAGCACAGGCACCCCCAGCCTGCCTGGGCACCAGCAGCCTCTCCACCAGCTGGGCTTGTCCCTGCCTCCCTCTTCTGTGGCCACAGGCACCTGGTGAATGTGCTCTTGCTCTCTGCCACTGCTCATCTGCAGACAGCAGGACTCTGTGACCTCAGTGCTGCTTCATAAGTTGTCAGACAACTGCCTAGGCAATAAAACAATTTATATTTTCCATGTGTTTTGGTGTATTTCTTGTTAGGTAATAACAAAAAACAAACATTACATTGCTCTGAGTACATAAAAGGCTTATTTCACTGATTACCCAGGCTTTAATTTTCTTTAAGCAACTCTAAGTGGGTGGTATTTGGGTGCAATTAGCCATCCAATAATCACAGTATTGCAGCCAAGAACCATTGCAGGCTGTCCAGAAGTCTCATGACTTCACTATGATGCACGGAAAAGGACTAATCAAAGCTCCATTATAATTAAAACAAATCCAATGGCCTGCTCATTAGGTCAGTGTGGACAAAAGTGACTCTCCAATGTCTGTGCTGGAAGGTTCACACAGATGCTGCTCTCTCTGCAGCGAGCAAGAGACCACTCCAAATGTGACTGGAAGGTTGTTTGCTCTGTAGTAGGCACCTGAGTTTTATTTGGCTGGCTTCTAAATGATTCCCCACTCCTTTCTGATTAGGAGAGCTTTCAGATCTTACACCCACAGCTCTCAGGCTCTTTGTTCCTCGGGAATTCTTTTCTAATTAAAAAATAAAAAATAAAAACACACCAAAAAAACCCCTCACATCTGCAAACAAAAATGCAGGAAGACAGCCAAAAATCAGATTAACATTTAGCTGTGGCTGTATTTCACTGTGGGCCTGTACACATCTTGTACAGAGGCAGAGGCCCTTCTGCTCCGTGTCCCCTGGAACAGGAAGTACACGTGCTCCATCCATAATTGATGGCCCAGCTCTTCCACAAGCACCAACAACTGCATCTGTTCCTGCCTGCTGAGGGTTGGACCCTCAGGGTTCAGCTTCACCAGACTAAAGCTCTGCCTGCAAAGCAGCCACCCAGGACACGCTGGAGCCAGGCTTCATCTCCAGGTGATCCAAGGCTGGCTTGGATCCAGCCTGTCCAGGCTTGATCCCAGGTGCATCCAAGGCAGCAGCAAACATAACCACACTTACACTCATCCTCTGAAATCAATGCTGCCTTTGGCACCCATTTTGAGGGCAGTGAGCTTGGCCCCCAGCACACAGCTGTCCAAGTGCTTAGGATTGGGACTAAGGCCTCCTGAAGCCTCAAGCAAGCTGAGAGCCTTCAGCACCCCTGCCAAAGTGAATTTCTACGTGATTGCAGCCTTTGCACTGCCCAGAGACAGACACAGCCCAGACACAGCCCAGCACTGCAGAGCTGGGCCTGCCCCAGGCACTCAGCACTTCAGCTCCAGCAGGGCACAGCCATGCTCCTGGCAGCCAGGCTGCTGCTAAAAGGCATCCAAAGTCACCTGGAAATGGTTTCATTGCCTTGTTACCTGGTGCATGGAGTGAGAGATGCCCTGAGTATATTTGTTCTGCTGAGGTAACCAGAAAGAAAGCCTCACCAAAGCAGGCTCTCTACTGCCAGAGCGTGGTTTTGATTTTCAAGGGAACACAAATATTTTTTTGAGCACAGACTTGACCTGAAAACAATTCTCTATTCCTTTTTCTTTAATTTGTGCTTCTCTTCACCCAGTGAGACAGTCCCCTCCTGTGTCCCCATGAGAGGATTCTCAACAAGAAAAAAAAAAGTTTGGGCCCACCAGAAGCATCAGTGGCTCTGGATGTGCCCTAGGAGAACCCCCCATGCCAGGACCTTCCATAGCTGGTGGCCCAAGCATTGCATGGCAATATTCTTCAGTCAAAACATAGCATTCTGCACAGGGAAAACCCCTGAAAATAACACCCACAACTATAGAAATAAAACTTCTTTGTCAAGAACACCCCCACATAGGTTCAAAACACATTGGTTAGAAGAATACACCCTGATGTACCTGGTTTGTGTGCACCTCGGTGTTGTCTGCTTCTCTTTGTTTTACATGATTCTCCTGTACTTTGGAGTGATCCATGTAAAACTAAAGGGATAACATGAAGGGAACAAAGCTGGATAAAAACCTTAGAGTACTTGCCAAACTGAAAAAAATAAAAGAAAGAAAGAAAAAAAGGAAAGAAAACATCAAGCCAAGCCAATCCAAATATCCCTCTACTTTTGTGTGCTTTGTTACATTAAGTTTATTTTATGATTCATTTGTAACAAAGTAGGGTGGATAATGCAGACTTGCATCACAAACCTCTGCATGCGTAAGAAATCACTTATGTTCCACAAAGCAGGATGGGATAACAAAAATAGAGTCCTCTCATTTGCAGAAGTGGTTGTGGTCCAAGCCTGAGTGCCAATCTCTCAAGGCCAGTTCCTCAGGCAGTGCTGAACTGGTGGCTCTCACATGGAAGTGGTCATGTCCTCACCAGAGCACTCCAGCCCTGTGCAGACAGCCCAGCCCTGTGTATTCAGGCCTGCCAAGACATCCTGAAAGCACCTCTCAGAGCACAGGGTGGATTTGGGGCAGCTGCCTCCAGGTGGTGGCCCAGGAGACACCCATGTGTGGGCGGGCCAAGAGATCTCCCAGAAAATGCTGGGACATTTCAACCCTGTCTCAAAAGTGCCAGCATGGCAAAGGGCTGAGGCTGCTGAGGTCTGAGTCTGGCTCAGGGAGCTCAGGGATAATGTTTCAGTTCAGGGTCAGCTCTATCTCCACCTGGGTGACACCCAGGCTCTTTTAGGGTCAAAGCCCAAGATCTCCAGGCTTTGCCAACATAAAGGAAAACATCCCCTGTCCAAGCTGCTTGTATTTCTGACTGAAAGCATTGGGTGGACAAACACCAAGGGGAAGCAAGCAGATGGTGATATCACATAAAACAGACCAGGCTTTGCAGATGAGTTCATTGCCCTTCCAGCACTAGCCCCTCACACTGCAAAATTCTTGTTTCCTTAACATTGCAAATATTTCACTCACAATTCTATGGGGAGTTGGGTCTCAAACATATTAGGCTTTCTTAATATTCAACATTTCTACATGCTAATCCCTGGCTGTGCCTGCCACTTGTGTCCTTCATCCAGGATCATGGAATGCCCCAGGGAAACAGGGAATAATCCCAGCTCCCACCCTGCTCCCAGGAGCTGCTCCAGGAACGATAACCACAGTGCTGGAGAGGGCATCTCCCAGGTGACAGGCAGCCAGAAACGAGCTGAGCAAGCAGGAAAAAAAGCATCCAGGGCTGTTTTGCAGGAAGACTGCAGGTGTTACAATTATTGTAGGAGTTTGGCAAACCAGGGGAACAGCACACGTTCCTAAAACGACAGCACAGCTTTTATACTTTCATTGCACATCTGTGCATCAGTGCCTCAGCCACTCTCCCAGGCATTTCAAAAGTACACCAGAGCCACACAAAACCTTGGAGTGAAGTTCCAAACTCTCAACAAAGTGATAAACGGGATCAGAAGCTGCTCTGCTCCCTCACACCACCCAGACCAGCTGCTGAGGATGGGAATGTGTGGCACAGTGAGAGGTGATTCAAGGGGATGCTCCATGGTGCTGGGGCTGCTACAGAGAGGGGAACCTGTCCCTGCTGGACACTTTCAGCCATTGGGCTTGGTGAATCCTTGCCAGCTATGCAGAAATAAGAGCAGAGCATTCATTTGATGCCTTTTGCAAACTAACCCTGAGGGAAGAAGTAGCCGACAGGAAAGGTTTCCACTTCTCCCAACTCCAACTCTCCATCTTCCTTTTTTGTTTATTGTTTCACCTCATATTTTAAAATACTTGCCAATTTTCCCAAAACTTCTGTGAAAAAATATAGATTCTTTTCTGCTATGAGACCCCAGCAATAAAGGAACATTTATTAAAGCAAGTATTTCCCCATCTCCTCTGAAGCAGAATTTCTTCTTTGGAAGGAAAACCCAAGCAAGTTTACCAGCTTTTGCTTTTCTGCATCCCGTAAACACACATTACCATTTCCTGCTCACCAATCCTGCAAAGGGGCACTAACAGTGCATTCAGAATGTTTTTCCTCCCTTACCAGCTCCCTGTGGTCCCATCCAGTTTCTGATCGGAAGGGCAGTCAATAGAGAAGCCCTGCCATCCATCGAGGCTCCCAGTGACAGCAGCAAACCCACCGTGCTGCTTTGTTACCCACCATCAGCAGCTGGCCTGGGCAGTGCCAGTGCTGGTTTGGATGTTTGTGTTTGAGTAGCACAGCAGTGAGGGCTGGGGGAGCCAGCAGGGCTGTTCAGTGCCAGGCTGCACAGATTCACTCCCCGGGCTCTGCAGCTCCAGCACACTGCGCTTTTGCCAACCGCCTGCATGGGGGTGGATGTCCACGGCACCATTTAATTGCTCAGAACAGCAAATGGGTGAATTTCTGGCTTGTCAAGGACATTGTACAGAAAAGAGACATTATTAATCTCTCCAAATCCTAGCTGGTGAGCAGGGCCTTAAAACAGCTGAACAGCAAAGCAAACACACTCAGCAAGTGGGCAGTGTGCCACGGTGAGGGACAGCATGGACAGGGCTCCAAGGGAAGGTGCTGCTGGCTCCTGAGCTCTTCTCCAGCTAATAAATAATGCTAAAAAGCCTGGCAAGAGGCAGCATAAACAGAAGGTGCTGCTCCATCTCATATAGCTTTCAGAAAGAGGGATATATTTTCTTGAGGCATCACAAATGTTTTTTATGCACCCCTGCACTGGCAGTGCCAGCAGCTGCTGGTGCCAATGGGGTGTGCCAGTGCCTGGCCTGCAGGAGGCAAAGGCTTGCCCTGATGCTACCAGGGAAAAGAGGTGCCTGGCTGGCCCAGAACTGGCCTGAGAGACTGCAGACAGCAGGGGCTGTGTAGACAAGCTCTGTCTGCCTATCCCACAGCCAGTGGGATCTGTGCTCTGCAGCGTATCTGCGCTGGCACACTGGCTATGGGAAAGGAGCAGGACATGATAGGAAGAGCTGGTTTGCAGGGAGCTGAAAAGAGAATCCCATCCTGCCTCGCTGAGAGTTTTAAGTGCGTTTTAAATTGTAATGAAACCAATTCTCTAAAGGTTTTGGCAGGAGAGGTCTGCCCTTGCAGGGAAGCACTGCCCACCCATGGAGGATTTATTCCTCTGTTACCTCTCTCCTTGGGTCACCAAGCTCCAGTCACTGCAGAGAACACAGCTGCACAGGGGAGCAGCTCAGTCCAGGGCTTCTCATCACACCAAGGAAGGTTCCAGGCTGGAAGAATCAGTTTAGTTAAGTTAGTTTCGTTTCATTTAGTTTAGTTTATTGGGTTTTTTCTTAACCCAACACACCCACTGGTGGAGGAAGGGGGTGGGAGCCCCTGAGAGACACAGTGTCCCCATTTTCTCCACCTGCCCTCACATCACCATTTTCACTGCCTTTAACTCAGCTCAGCCAGTGAGTCTGAGCCCAGGCTCACCTTGCTGCACACCCACTGCTGGACCCCAACTGCCCTTCTGCTCCCTTTGTCCATCACAAAACCACCCAGTCACACCACTCCCTCAAACCAGTGACTTTTGAACTTAGAATCAGATGCACAGCAAAAGCAGCAGCAGGTCCAGGCTCCAGCCAGCACAGCCCAGCACCTCAGAAGGGATGAGCTGACTTTGTTCCAGCAGGCAGCTAAACCAAACAGCTGCCAAATGCAGAGTCCTTCCCCACAGAGGCTCTAAACCTGTGTTTGGGTATTTCAGGAGCACAGAGCTCCAACCAGCACTGAGAAGGAAACACATCACAGGGCCAAACCTCTCCCAGACAGCACACTGCCTTCTGCTAATGGTCTTAAATCCTTCTTAACCACAGAAGTGCAAGAAGCAGATTTGGAAATAAAGGATGATAGTGGTCACTCAGCAGGGGATGGCATTATCCTAGGTGAGCCTCCCCCAGGAGGGCAGCAGAGATCATTAGAGGAATTGCTTGTCCTTATTTAAGCCTCCCCAAGTCTACCAGGAGCCCAGCTGACCTGCTGTTATCTGGTGGGTAAGCACAGATACAAGAGACTCATTACTCTAAGCTAAGGCATTGCAGGTCACTGTGCCACCTAAGAAGTAAAAAAGATAAAAGATTCCCAATTTTCCTGCTTCCTGGGAGCAGCAGCCATTTTGCACCTCCATAAAGCAGGTCTCATCTGAGCAATTTGGCCTATACAATAAGTAGCCAGCACTAACTAGCTGCCAGCTGAACACTAGCAAAAATGTTATATTCCTTCTTCAGTCCTATTTTTAAGCACTGACATTAAAAGAAAAGACACAGGGGAATTAAACCTGTGGGAAGTCTTTAAGAGAGAACACATTTCTTCCACCTGCACTTTGCAGATAACACCCTACATTTCCAGCTTTTCTGATTTATTCCCACTCGTTTTTCTCTTCTCCTACCCACCCAATGAGTGGGATATTAGCAGACTAGGCATACTGCAGGCACCTCTCACAGGTAGATAGTTCATCCTACAGATGAAGGTCTCTTTTCCAGCTGCCTTCCAGCTCATCCTCACAATTCTACATCCCTCTCTTAAGTAGCAAAGTTCTTCCTCCTAATGAGCCCTCAGGTGATGCACTCCCCACCTGATCTGTCTGTATTAACAACTTGGCTGCTCCTAATAGAGGTGAGGTTTGGTTTGGTCTGGTTTAGTTTCGTTTCATTTCTTTGGTCTCATTTGGTTTGGTTTTCCAGGTAAATATTCAGATTGGCAGCTGCAGCCAAGAAACAGTCTCAGAAAATTTTGGTGGTAAATGGGCACAGAGGAGGAAATTAAACTAAAGGATGTCCTGGCAGACTAGAGACATGCAGGAGAGCCAGGCAGTCCCATCAAAGCCACTGCTGCCAGGCAAAGGCTGTCTGGAGGAGGAGGGACATGGTTCCAACTTTCATGCAGGAAAGTCAGCTGAAAGGAAAAGCAGCTGCTCTCCTTAGGTAGTGCTTTAAACAGGAGATTTTCTAACAATTTCTGTTCTTTATGACTGTGCTTTACAGGATTTTTGCTTGAGACAAAACTGATGCTCCAGGCCAAACAGTGCAGCCAGGAAGTGACAACTCCCCAGGGATTTCCTCTGGCTGCTTGCCTGGGCCCTTCCACAACTCCCAGCAGGGCATCTCCCTCTCTCAGAGCCCAAGAGGCACAGGCTTGAGTAGGCCTGGCAATTCCTACCAAATTGGACAGGACAGACAAGAACCCTGGATCCAGAGGGTCCATAGCAAAGCCCAGACATGGAATTTGGGCCAAATCCCACCAGAGGTTTGCAGGGTGACTCAGCTTGGGTCTCTCTGTCCAAGCTATTGTTGAGACATGCTAACAGGCATTTCACAGGGTCTCCAAATTACTAAATTGGTTAGGATGACTGGCAAGGTGGCCCCAGGTCTGTAGTCCTCTGAACAGAAAGAAACATAGTCCTCCCAGGATTTTAGAAGCAGTGGGAACCTTAGAGAGAAGAATTCAAACAATTATTATCTCTCTTTCTGTAACCATTGTTTATAGATATGGTTCTCCAGAGTGTGCTATTCATAGTTCACCAACCATGTGAGAGAAGATTCCTAATGGCCAATCAGATCTTAGGTCCACCATTGTTTCTATAAGAACTGTAGATTTCTAATAATAAAATGTCTTTTTCATGCCTTCTGATGATGGGGTCTCTGTATCACCTTTGCCTGTCCCCGATACCCTTTTGGTGATACAGGGCCACCCTCCTCCCAGGATTGTCCTCCTCCACAAAGCCCATGACACAGCTCTCCTCCTTCAGTGCACTGCAGCAAAGCAAAGGTTGAAGCACAACTGAGAAACTTCTGCAAGGAGGGTCTGTAACAGCCCAGCAGTGCTGCTGTGAGGCTTGGGTTGAGACCAGAACCTCCAAAGCTGAACTTGCCAGAGCTCTCTCCATGCAGCACCTGAAACTCTGGCTGTGGCAGGACAAAGGGCTCCTGCCATGCAGCAGGGTAAATAAACGGCTCAGTGCCATGCTGTGCAAAGCCTGAAGCACTGATGGCTTCCTCTGCTGCTGTAACAGCCTCATGTCCCCAACTCTTATTAAGGCCAAGCCCCACGGATCCAAATCTTTGCTGAGCAGAGCCCTAAGTAAGGAAATCAATCATTCTGCAGCGGATTCTCTGTCACCGCGTGCTGCGCTGCCATCCGTGCTGCCCAGCCCCATTCAGGCCCTGCAGAGAGGAGCTGCTGCTGCTGCTGCTGCTGCCTGGGGTGCCCCAGAGGGCTCAGCAGCCCTGCAGGCAGCACCCCACAGTGCCACACCCAGCAGGAGCCCCTGGCCTGTGGCATCATGCCGTGCTAATGGCCAGGACAGATCACTGAGCTGCCACAGGGCCCTGCTTGGTGCCAGCGGTGCTGTGTCAGTGACAGGGCAGCATCAGTCACCCTCAAATGGCAGCCAAACCCCTCAGCCCTCCATGCCCTGCCTGCAGGCCAGCTGTGGGAGGGAGGATTACCCTGCACTGCCAGGAGCTCCTCCCTGTGCTGAGCTGAGAGAGAAAAGCCTCAGTGCTGGTGCTCAGCACCCTGCTCCCTGCAGAGGAGCCTCTGTAGAGACCCAGCTGCCTTGTAGGAATGTTCATCCATGATTCAGGGGTTGCAGAAAACCACTGTACAGAACTCAGCTACATGCATGGAAATGCCAGTATTCCTCCCCCTTTCCCATACATGAATTTCAAATACCTCAGCATCCAAAGAGACCTCAGCATCCAAACAGGCTGGAGTAAGAGCTGTCTGCTGTTAGCAGCAGGGACTTGTCTGTGCTGGGGAAGCTGAGAGGCATTGATAGCAAAGGCAGAGCATTGCCACCTGCAAAGTCCATCCCATCTATGTGCAACACAAACTCATGCTCTGAAGGGCACCAGGTGTGCTGGGGAGGGAGAATTGTGCCAGGGGCTATCCCAGACTATGAGCTGGAAGGCTGCAACTGTGCACTGGCAGTGCATTATCTTCCCTATAATATTAGAATATAACCCTTAAAAATTCTCCTTGCCCCTGATAAGACATTGTATTTCTTGTTGGCCTTACTCTCCCTCACCCTACACACTCAGCATCAGCTTTAGCATTGTGGCTGCAATCACTTTATTTCTTTATATTAATTAGTAAATTATAAGTTTTCCTCCCCATGAGCTTATAGGAGCTCAGTCTGGATCTCCCAGTGTTTCCCAGGCAGAGAGGGAGGAATACCTGGCAGCTTGGCTGAGCTCCCGCTATTTCACTGGACACAGCAAGGAGCAATCCAGGGAGTTTTGTGTTTTGTGACTTCTTTCTAATGAGGTCAGGCATCATGGTATTTCAGCTGGATTAAGGCTTTGCAATCACATGCCTGGTCTTTGGTTTCCATGAGCTGTAGGGCCTGAGGCTGAATCAGTCACTGCTGCGCTGGAGCTTCACCTTTCCTGCAATTAGCTCAGCATTTCTGGAGCAGCACTGTGGCCTCAGGTGAGGTCCTTGCACCCATCACCAGCAGGACTCAGCTCTGCAGGGCTGACAGGAACACACCACTCCAGGCTGCCCAGGGTCCTGGCCTGAGAGCTGGCAGAGGAGTGCAGGGCTCCTGCACCTCAGCCAGACTGTCCAGGGGGGTTTCAATGCCAGAGGCTGAGAGACCACCATGATTTTTGGGAAATCTTCCCCAAAAAATGAGGGTAGGCGGCTGTGGGAGGGCTGGGGGCACCAAAACAGAGAGCTCCATGTCTCGCTGCCCCACAAAGGTTTCTGCCTCTGGGTGAACCTCAGTCACAAGCACAAAAGAAACATAAAGCCTGCACATTCAGGAGGGAAAGGTAACAGGACACTTCAGGTCAGTGCAAGATTGGAGATGGTGTGAGCAGCTTCCTCCAAGGAGAGATTTAGGGGGCAAACTGCAAACACCCAAGAGCAACTCGAGCTTCCTCTCCCACACAGCTCAGGCCAAGAGGGCAGTGGCCATTCCTTAAAATCCCTGGGAGCAGCAAACTTGGGAGGGGCACAGAGAAAACTGCAGATGAAAAAGGCACGACACACATGTGAGGGGTGAAGGCAGGCACAGCCCCAAAGGCAGCTCTCATCTCCCCACTGCTCCCCTGGCAAAGCACGCTGTGAAATGCAGTATTCTGTGTAGTGTTTTGGAATCAAGACCAAAACAGCTTTCATGGAGGAAATCTGAGTTAAAAGTAAGAGATAACTCAAAGGATGACACATCCTTAGTGCCTGCTGAGGAGCTCCAAGGGGAGCCCAGCCCAGAGCTCTCTGCATACAGAATATACAGAATTGCACTGAGCTGCTCTCCCGGCACTGCCTGGGCACAAACACACTTCATATCACAGCAGCACCTTAAGGCAAGAGCTTTGAAAATCCAGAATTAGATGTTGCTATTAGACATTACAAGAGAAGAGATGCTGGCTTTTCATGTTGCTTCCATCCTGAGACTGGTTTGCACAGATAGGAAGAAGCATTGTGTGTGTGTTTGCATTACTCACCAGGAGTGCAGGTATCAGGAGCACCCATTGATAGCACAGCTCTCTCTGTCATGGACAGGCATCAGCCTCTGCTGAATTCCAGCAGCAAAACTGTCACAGGCAGCATCTGGCCAGAGCTATGTTATATGTAGACTGTAAGAGCTTGATCCAGTTCATTTTCTGAGGAAGAAATTAAAAATCTGAGTTTCAGAGATTTGTGTCAGTAGATAAGAACCAGCTCTCCATGTCTGGCTGGAGCTGTCCTGTCTGTGCACCTCTGTCCCATGCAGGAGAACCCCCAGAGCTGCTACCCTGAGAGTAATAGCAGAAAACAGAGCATTGTTCCAGGAGAGAAATCTGTGTTTGTTCCATGAAAGTGGGACACGGAAACAATTTTTAATCCCAGCATTATTTGCAAATACATGACCTGCTGGCAGATGACTCCACAGTCACTGGGCAGTGCCCTTCTCCATAAATGATCATCAAAGAAAAAAGGCTGAAACAAAGGTAGTGATCAACCCAAAATCTAAGTGTCCACTCATTTACATACCACACTAGAGGCAGAAATGCCTTATAGAACAATGTCAGTAAAAGTTAAACAGAAGAAAGGAAAAAGACTGACTGCTATGTCAAATTATCAGACTGCCAAGGAATAAAACCTTTTCATATATCATTCATGCACTAAATACAGCACTCTCACTGCTGCAGCCTCTTCCTTCCTTCCTTCCTTGGATCGCAACACTGTTTGCAAACATAAATGAATAAACCCTCTCACCTCCTGTGAAGCAGGTAATTTGTTTTTATTAATACATAAATGATAGAGGAAATTAATTAAGGAACAGAAAGGGCAAGAGGCCCAAGATCACACAGCAAGAGCACTTTAATCACTACATTCTGGCCACTTAAGAGTAGTGCTTGCATGTTAATGCTTTCCTGTAGGAAGCCAGCATTTCCAACACACCTCCTTTCCTCAGACTAAGGCCTCCCCCAGCTAAAAGCTGGCTAACTTTCCAGCTTTGCACCATCAGGGACATGGAGCTGTTCTTCACATTCACACCACACCTCTGTCCCCTGGTTTAATTATTATTTATGCTGAATATAAATAGCACAAGAGATGATCCTAAGATGAATAATGTAAAGGCAACAAGAGACAGAAAAACTGCTCCAGTCAGCTCATCTCCTACCTGCTTTATATTAAACACATCTGAGCCCTGGGTCTCTGCATACTAGAGGAGGATGGGTGAGTTTTAGGGCCATTGCACAGTATGAACTTTCCCAATGTATCACACTTACAGAACCTCCCATGCCAAGTAACTTTGTGCTGATCCCCAGTGAAAATTCAGAGTGTTCAACAGCCCTTGAAATTTCTAATTTGTGAGTCCCCACAGAGGAGTGGTGCAGGGGTGCATTTCTTGCTGCATCCCCTGCCTTGGACAGGGGATCAGGTACTCCTTGGAGCCTGACTGCACTGCCCAAAATCTGTGCTCCTATTTTAATTAATAAGCAATGTATATCTACCTGCTTCTCCATTTGCATCTAGTGCTGCTAATGACAAGAAAATACATCTTTTTAAAATGCTAACCTAGTAAGAGGTATTAGGAAAAGCGAAAGCTATTACATGTGCAAATTTCAGAGCAATTAGTCACAGAGGCAGAAGCACAGACAGGAGATTAGTTCTCAAGTCCTCATTCCCATCTGCTTCCCCAGTGGAGCCAGCAGTTTTGCGCAGACCCAGGAGGTGAAGGCCAGGCTCAGCCCCACCAGGAGGTGTCAAAGCAATTTCCCTGCACTCACCCTGCTGTCAGCAATGCCTGCACTCAGCATCTCCCTCAGCCTGGCTGGAATCAGGGCTGGGTGTCAGCAATGCCCTGCACTCAGCATCTCCCTCAGCCTGGCTGGAATCAGGGCTGGGTGTCAGCAATGCCCTGCACTCAGCATCTCCCTCAGCATCTCCCTTCCCTTCCTGGCTGGAATCAGGACTGGTGCAGGCTGCCAGAGCCTGGCCAAGGGGCAGCACTCAGAACAGGCTCACATCTAAAGAAACAATTTTCTTTCTCCATTTCCCTGCAGCCAACATGATCCCACTGAAGAAAAAAGCACTAAGTGCATCTAGAAAGAGAACACAAATAGCTAAATTCTGTTGGTGTGAAGATTTCTTCCCCTGACAGTGCTATTCTAGATGCATCACTGCATATTTGCAGTGGAAGATGGAAATACTTCTAACATTAAAGATAGTGACATTCTCAATTTATCTCACTTGTGGAAAGGTGTGTGTGGGAGTGTGAGTGACTCTTAGGAACATGTCCTAAGTAGTTTGATGAAGAATAGTACACATTTCTCATAGGATTTTTTTTAATAAAGCTCAAAATTGTAGTAGAAGATTCTTGGCAAGAATTTAGGGGAAAAAAAACCAGCTTTGGGAAATAAATCTCATACTGTGCTCCTTCTTGTAGGATTTTTGAGTCCTCTATCTCTTTATATAAAAATACATTAAATTATTAAAAAATGGAATCCAAATTATTCTACAGCACTTTTGAGCACTTGATTGCTCCCAGTTTTTAACAAATCTGTGGCTAGGGTTGTGGCAAGGTAAAACTGTGGCTGAACAGTCAGTGTTTGTCACAGATCTGTACCACTAAACTGCTTTTAAAAACAGAAAAAAAAATACAAAGGATCTGGTTTTCAGCATCAGAATGGAGTCTCACTGTTGTCAGTTAAAATCACCCTCCAGGGCTGTGGGGAATTTTTACCCATTTGAGCAGAATCAGCCCCCCCTGCCTGAGCTCTCCAGCCCTGACCCTCATCTCCCCCTGGGGCTGGGGCAGCTCCGTCCCCACCCAGAGCTGGCAGGGACCCCTGAGAGCAGGGCAGGCTCCCAGCTCAGCCTCAGCACATCCACAAGTGCCTCCCCACACCCCAAAGCCGCTCCAATTCCTCACAGGAAATTGCAGAGTAAAAGTGCCACAGGGCACAGATGGGGCTCCAGATCCGCCCCCCAATACAAGAGCTACAAATGCTCTATTTTCCTCTGGCTGACAATACATTAGCAGACACATTTTTGTTGTTCGTGGATGTTCACAGAAGACCTAAAGATAGCCTAGTATTGTCAACAGAAAATGCAATTCAATTCCCTAAAAATATCAGCAACACAGGCCATGAAGAGTTTGTTTTTCCCCAGTAATGCACTTTTTCATTATTGCCCTGGATTAAAATTAAATTGCTAACATAAGGACAAGCAGATGAATCTGTGGCTATGATAGCATAGAAAAATGTCAATACAATGCTTGTACACTGCATGCTCCTTCAGTAGTTAAAGATTCTTATCTCCAGAATATTATAAACTGAAGCACATTGTGAAGATCTCATGCTATTAAATCAAACAGTGCTGCTCATATTGCTTCACTTCTGCCATCAGCCAGGCAGTGCATCACCTTTGGGAAGAAAATTTCTGGGTCTCCTGGACAGGGAAGCAGCATTTTCATTGCTCAGAAGCAGAACAGGACTGTGTTTGCATGCATGCAAATCTGACCCTAACACTGGCAAAATAAAACCCCTAAAATTTGATATCAACCCTAATCCAAACAAGCCCTGGCTCACAGCATCTTTGTAGTGGGGACAAGGAGCTGCCAGTTTTTGGTGACAGGCAAAGTAGTGACTCAAATTCTAAAACATTTAATAAGACAATGACTTAAGGAGTCAAATGAATTGTATACTTTCTAATTCCACATAAAAACAGCAACAACAACAAAAAAGCAATATAGAAACAAACTGCCATGTCAGAAAAAAACACATTCATACATTCTTCCAAGGTGCTTTACACAGACAACCTTTGCTCTGAAAATGTCTTTTCTCTTTCCAGGGTAGCAGCACACAGAGGTGGAGGCTGCAGCCAAATGCCACAAAACTGGATTGAATCTCATTGCCCCACACACTCCCCCAGACCAGGAGCTGACCCTGACAGCTCCAGCTTCACCCTGGAAAAGTTCCCTTACAAACCCTGCTTTTCCCGGTGTTAGAATTCTCCTTGGGTTTCCTTTTTAGCTGGTGAAGGGTGATTTAAGTTGCAAAATACATAATTTCACACGTTTCCAAGTAGTTTCATCACTAAGCCCTATGTAAATACACAGGACCAGAGACTGACAGAAGAAGGTTGCCAAAACCAATCATTTTGAACCAACTAATTGGGAAACACTTTTGACTGATAATTTCATTTTTTTTCTTAGTAGCTGTATTTTACAAGGGTTATTCCCAGTATTCTGCACAAATGGACTTTCCCCATGAGCCCAGTGGCTGGTGTGGACACTTGGCAGTCCCAGAGAGAGAACGGGAGCAGGATTAAAGCATGAGAAGCTGCATGAAATCAGGCTGTGGAGTGTGTGAGCTCAGTGCAAACTGCACATTGCACATGCTGCAGGCAGCCCTGCTGGCTCCTGGGCTCTCTTAGGAGATCAGACAGGAAACCAGGGCTTTGTTCTAGGAAAGGCATAAAGGCCTTCAGAAGTCATATTACCAAAGAACTCTGCAGGCATGGGCCAGAGTGCAACATTTTGTTATGTAGTCTCACCTTGCTGGAAACACACTGTCGGCTTCTAAGGAAAAAGAATAAGGATTGGATTTATTTCTGTAAACCAAATCCTTTCTTGTTTTACTTGCCGGCCAACTGTTGAGGCTCATGCTTCTATATATTGCTGTTTGGAAAATATTAATTTTAAATAATATGGAATTTTTAAAAACTTTTCCTTGGTTTTTTTTGGGTCTTCCGGGGACCAAAAAATGGCAAAAAAAAAAAAAATCTGGACAACTTCTGCTCTCCTGTAATGAAAAAAAAGTAAAGGGAAGTTTCAAAGTGACACCTCCATCCAGTAGAATTAAGGAATTGACTTTTCCTATCTTGAGTCAGAACACTGCAAAAAAATTCTGACAACCTCAGTTTAGAAAGCTGTCATAGGGAAAGCAGGTAATTCACTCCTCAATGCAGCCCTTTAATGTATAAGAAAGTATACTTTGCAAACTAATATGCCTACTGAATTTTACTCTACATTATTTTTGTCTCACTTTTCACTTCCATGCTTTCACTAATTGAGCTTCTGTCTTTTGTTATTTGTACAACAATCTCTCAGGGGATCCTCTTGTTCTCTTTATAAAAATTTAGTTAAAGTGCTTCCGTTATATAACCATGTCTCTGTATTAACTTGTATTAGTGGGTGTACTTCAGCTGCATAGCTGGAACATTTAAACATACTGGAGAGGATGCAGAGAGTATAGAAAGCTTGGATGGTGTTTACATAGCCTTCCCACGCATTTTGGCAAAACTGTATTGCTCCAAGTCCTGTGACATGCTAAACAAAAACAAATTTGAACACCAACAAGGGCAAACCTCAAGAGCAGAAACACATAATATGTGAATACAAGTGTTATTTACCATAAATCATATGGCTGAGAGCTTTAAAAGAAGCTCTTTTCCTATAGGATCTTGGTGTTACTGAAAGGAGTCACCCTTCAGGATGTGATACTCCCCACAGGAGAGATGAACATTAGTGCTCCACAATTATGTTTCATGAGACCTCACCATATGCCACACACAAAACTCATGTAGTGCAGCAATCAAGGCTCTATCCTACAAGCAGCTATGAGAAAGCTCAGCCACATTCATGCAAGGAGAGAAAAAAAAGTAAAACTAATTATTGAAATTTATGGGTTCAGGTATTTACATAATGATTACAATTAACAAGGTGTTTATCTCTATTTTTGTTCTTCATCTATGTGCTTGACATTTATATCAGTCATAGAAATTACATATTTACAAAAGGAGAAGGTAATTCAGGTCAGCCAGGAAAAGCTTTTTGGGATCAAACTGGAGCAAGAGCTGCACAGAGTGGAAGCAGCCCTTCATGCCTGTCAGCATTTAGGGTCCAGCATGGCAAATATCAGACCTGGGAGCTCCCAGAGACCTCAGCCTGGCTGGGAACACAGAGGTGGCAGCAGCGCCATGCTCCCACCAGGGGAGGATGCTGAGGTGCCCCAGAGCAAAGGTGACAATGGTGACAAACAGCTCCCAGGTAAACAAACAAACTTACCCATCCAAAGGAAACCTGCCTGTGAGTGCAGTACATCTGCAGCAGCCCTCAGTGCTCCATGCTGGGACAGCGCTGGGCCACTGTGTGGGCAGAAATGACCTCCTGACCATGCACCACAGTCTGGGTGTGCAGAGGGCTCCTCGCCAGCTGAGAGTGAAACCCTGCAGGGATGGGACACAAAAACCTATGAAGATGAAATCTGGAGAGACAAGATCCCAGAGGAAAACATCCATTTCCAAAACTAATCTCAGAGGGCCACTGACTCCCAAGTGAGTCCAGAAGCCACGTGGTGTGTGCCATCCTCATTCCTGAATCTGAGGCATTCCTTGCAAATGCAGAGATGCAATGACAGGGAAGACTACAGGGGTTTGCTGGGGAAAGTGCACTCTGCTTACTGCCACTGCTGGATTTTAAACTGATAATCAGAGACTGAGCCTCTTCTGAAGCAATAGTGAGAAAACTATTGCTATTATATTGTTCAAATTTAGTTCAGTATTAGCAAAGGAAGTCGAAAACAACTCAGCATCTCCATTTTTCATCCTTAAGCCTCTTCTGAAGCAAAAGTGGCAAATCTGCCCTCCAGGGCAGATCCCAAGGAATTCATGGCAGGAGAGTAGTGAGGAGGCTGTGCTGGTGCAAATGGGTCACAGAAGTCCTTTGTGCTGTGTCACAGCTGGCCCTGGTGCTCACAGCCCCTTGTGCTCCACTTGAATGCCCTCTCTGGGACATCTTCTGGGACTTTCCTTGGGCTTCATTCATCTTTACACAGCAAACGAGCATTTTTTTTGTTAACAATCACTTCTTCACACATTTTGGCACACCCAGTCAAGCTGCATGATACATTACAGAAACACTGCAAGGAAAGATAGATATAGATATAAATGCAGATGTAGATATAGATATACAGATTAGATAGATAAAGCTATAGATAGATATAGATACAGATATAGATGTAGATGTTGATATAAATATATAGAAAATATATAGATGATATAGATATAAATATAGATATAGATAGACATAGATGATATAGATGAGATAGATATAGACAGATTAGATATAGATATAGATTAGATTCAATATAGATATAGATTATATAGATATAGATATATATTATATAGATAAGATATATATTATATAGATATAGATATAATATATATTAATACGTATGCACTGTATTGTTTTTCCAAAGTGTCAGATCACTACATTATAACAGAGAGGCTATTACAGACAGGTTTAGTTAGCTGTGCATCATTTCACACCTTCATTACAATCTTTACTGGGAAAATGGATTGCTTTTGAGGCTCTCTCCATTCTCATTAAACTTCCACTCTTGCAGGGTGTCAGAACTGTAAAATGCCTAATACAGACAGTTAATTATAACAGCACTCACTACTTCAGCCTTTTCAATTACCCACATTTCCAGCAGCTGGAGCAGCCAAGCTCCCATCCAGGGTGAGTCAGAGCACCACTAACAAGGGAGACCAAGGGTGGCCAGGGGACAACATGCTTTGCCAGACCATGCAGAACCTGGAAAACCATCAGAAAGCTTTCCACTGGCAGGAAACAGCATTTCTTGGGAGGTTTGTGATCATGGAAGGATGAAAGATGGAGATGCAGAGTTGTTTTCTACTTCCTTTGCTAATACTAAACTAAATTTGAACAAGATAAACATTATTAAAGAAGTTGTCCTTGGAGCTGCTCAGGGTAATAGAAGCACTTTGTCAGATGAAAAATTGGCAGAAATTAGCCTGAAATTGTTACCGAAAATGAAATCACATAAACAACTTTGATTTCTGCTTCAGGACACAAGCTGCCAGGTAGGAGTTACCTCTCTCCTTGTCACATTCAGGGACGTGTGGCAAGCAGAAACCTCAGCTGATTGCAGCTCCCGGGGATCAGACACTGGAAATCTTCTCCTGGTCCAACAGGACAACTTCCACTCCCTCCTGCAAAAGGGAACTGTTCAGACAGAGTCTCTGACACTTCTGCACAGCCAACTGTGGTTTGTGGTGGTATTGGGGGTATCTGGCATTCTGGGGCTGGAATGGGGCTCTCTGCAGTTTCTGAACAGCACAAACACTGTGATCACTGTAAAGCCTGGCAGATTTTCAGCATCTGCTCCATGGGGGAATGAAACTCCTCTGAGCAGCCCCTGAGTCCCACCCAGAGTCACCCAACCAGCTCCCACTTGAGCTGGCTCCAGCCTCTCAAAGAAACCCCAGCTTCAGCTTTCTCACAGCAGCAAACCCACTCGGATGCAAACCAAGATTTTCCAAGAATAAATGACCCTCCTAGATTGCAGACCCAGCACATGGCCACAAAAGGTCACTGCTCTTCTCAGCTCTTTCCTCTTTTTACAAAAACCACACAGCTGAGGATTGTCCAAGTCCCACCTTGCTGTAGAAATGAGAATTCCATTTTGAGCAGCTAACTCTTAATGTATCTATGAAGAAAGCATCCTTGCTGTAAAGGAACACCATGTTCCAGCACAGACATCCCAAACACAGCAGAAAAAGCCATCTCCCTTATGAGGGATCAGAAGATCAGAGCTGTGTTTTATTAGTTGTAGAAAAAGTATCTTTAGCTCTCAGTTGAAAGGAAAAATTTGCATTTAAATAGAAAGATTAATAACTGTAATACACAGAGCCCACACTGAATAATTTTTTGTAACAGAAAATAATTCATATTTTTGTATAAATTGTTCACCTTAAGTCAAGCTACAAAAAATTATAATCACAATATTTTATGGAACAATTTTAATCTAATACAGCTTTGTTACATTATAATTCTCCAGTGTAAATAATGCATGCCTGCAGTTTTGAAAAAAGCCAGATTTAAAATACCTGTCTCTGAAAATTCAATAGGGTGTGTGCTTTTTGGTGTGTTTACACTGTGCACGAGCTTTACCTACTAAAATAAAAAGAATCCTTCAGAAGGATAATAACAATAAAAAGAATCCTTCAGAAGGATAGAAACAAACCATTCCTTCTGCTGCAAGGACAGGCCAGGAGGTGATGATTATGGAGAGCTTAATGAACTTTTTTGGAAGGAAAGCTTTTTCTCTAGAACACATAGATTTGGATTCACTCATTTCAACATGATCCTGAACTCTTGAATTGTTTTGGTCAGGCTTAAAATCTGGTCTTAAAACATGAACAGTTACATTTTGGCATTCTTTTGGCATTGAGGAGGATATTTTAATTTTATTTTGCAATTATTTTTCACCTACAGCTATATTTTTTTAACCACTGACTCCAAGCCACAGGAAAACAACCCTTCTCCCTTTCAATCTAACCAAGCCTTTAAAAAATGTATAAAAGCATTGACGTGTCACAGAAAACTTCCAAAAAATCCTCTAGGATTACCTTAAAGCATTTCCTTTTTTGTCTGTGTGCATTTTGCTTTAGTGCATCTCCTGTTTGAGACAAATTTGGGAATCACCCCAGGACATGGCACTGGTTGTTTTCCCAGTGCTCGGGAGGAGGAGAGGGTGGTGTCCCCTGGCTACAGCCCCTGGATGGTGTCCTGGAGCTGTCCCAGCAGGGATATCCCACCCTGGAGGGGCAGATGGATGCAATTCCTTCCTGCTCCAGCCCTCTGGGCTGCCAGTCCCCCCCAGCTCCCCAGCCCACCACACATGGGGGAAGCCATCAGGAAGGAGCCAGAGCTGCTGCATTTGGGCAGAAAAGCTGCATTTCCCACCCTGTGTCCTGGAAAAGAGGCCAGTGCGGCCCAGGGGCTGCAGCAACTGCTTGAGGCAGCTCTCCTGTTGCTTTCTCTCTGCTGGAAGAAGGCAATTCCTTTGCTCTCCCCTCCTGGACTCGCGCCAGCAGAGCTCTACCACACTCAGAGCATTTCTGCTGCCTTTAGCCAAGGGATGGCTCCTACACCCTACGGCCACTTGGCTCACACTGGCCACTGTCCCAGGCACAGCAAACCTGGCAGTGCCACAAGCTCCTGTTTGCCGTGGGAAAGGAGCAGTTTGCTCCCTGGCCTGGCTGTGAGATGCAGAATCTATTTCCTGTTGCAGCAGGAGCCCGGTGTGGGGAACTCGTGGCGTTTAATTTATCACATCCTCGTACATTACAGACCTTCCACATAAAAACCTTTTAATTAAAGAATCAGGAGGGAGTTGCCTGGTGTTTCTCCAGTGCCACACAGATAATAGCAGAAAGCAAACCCCCTTTTTCTGCTTGGAGCCACTGGCACCACTAATTACTCTCCCAAAATTCAGCTCAGGTTCCTCTCGCTGCTCATTTAATCTTTGTCACTCTTGCTGCCTTCCATTTCATCACTCAAGCACCGAGCAACAGGCACAGACACAATCAGGGAAGTTTGGAGGAGCTGCTGCTGGCATGCAGGGGGAAGCCCAGCACTGCTGGAAGCCAGGGCTGAGAGCAGACAATCAGCAGAGGATGCAGGATGCTCAAACCACAGCGTGAGTTCATTAGGGAGCTCAGCTCCCTTCAGGCTCTAATGCTCCTGGACTCCAGGGGCTGTAGGCTCCACTGCCACTGGGATATCTGCTACTGCCCAGCCTGATTTTAGGCTGGATGGTAGTTCAAGAATCAAGATATTCATCTTCACCTTGCTGCTCTCACCCCCTGTGTCCCCGTGTGCCCAGAGCCAGTCTGGTGCCACCAGCAGAGACACCTGGCAAGGCTGGCAGCTCCTGGTGACCCCCCTCATCACTGGAACAGAATTACCACAAAAACCAAAGGGGTTCAGGAAACCACTGGAACTTGGGAAATGCTATACAGACACAAATCATCAATAACCTAATTTTAAAAGGCCCTTTAAACAGTGAAAATGAAAAGGCAAATGATGAACAACCAGTGAAGAGCACATGGGAGCTGATGCAGACAAGCCCCAGCATTCGCAGCAGCCCACCTGGGCAGCAGGTGAGGCTTGGGTGACCAAACTCCTGAGCTGCCAGTGCTGGCTGGACTTCTCCTGCCCTGTCTGATCCCTTGGTTTGGCCACTCAGCCCCTTAGGGGACACAAAAGGATGGCAGGAGGTCAGGGACACCTCCTTTCCAGAGAGTGAGCTGGGCTGGAATTTGGTTAAGGAGATTTGGTACCAGGGGTGTGAGGTGGATGGATGGCAGCAGATCACACAGCTGGAATTGCAGCTTTCATTGCTGCCTCAGGACCTAATGACACCAACAAGTACAAGCCAAAACAATTATCCCTTTGCTCCTACAGAAAAACCAATCTAAAAAAAACCCCAAAACTGCTGCTCAAGTAGGAATTTACGTTGCAAGTTCTCCCTTGCTGGAAAAGGCTTTTGGAGAATCTCCACCACAGCAGAGCTGGTTTAGGAACCCTCAGGGCAGTGCTGGGTCTGGGAGGTTGAGCAGAGCTGAAGGACACACAGGCAGGGCTTGGGCAGGTCCCTGCACCCAGTGTCCCCAACAGGTAAAACTGCTCCTGCCTCTGCTCCTGAGGTGATGCAGCTCCCAGAGCTTACAGGAGTTTGCAGAGAGGGGCAGGGGGGGAATGTGCCACAGGTCAGGGATTTCTGCTCCAGGGATGAGCCAGCACTGCACTGCCAAGCATGGTGGGCGACTGGTTTAAAGCCCAGCTCTTACAGCATGGTCCCAAGGTGCTGCTGTCACACACTGCTCTCCTGTGGCACAGACACTCTGCCCCCAGGGACCCTTCCTCCAGCAGCTGCCATGATTTCAGGCATTTGTCACTTTTTTTTGCCTATTGAGAGGGCCAAGACTGATCAAATCTTTCAGCAATAAAAGGAAACTAATTTTCTTTTGCACAATGTCAGTTAGCTTTGCAATATTCTGTCATATATTCCTTAGCTGCTCAATGCTACATTGGGAGCTTCTGAATGCAAATATTGCCTGACAAGAAGGATGAAACCAGATGATTTTTTTATCTCAGCTATACATTCACATATCACATATCCAAAGTTAACAAGTGACTCTCTGGTGTAAAGCCATTTTCTACTTTCCATGCATCCCAAATAACAGCTATGAAAATCCTTGTCTATTATATAGTGAGATAGTTTGCTGCCTTTATTTTTCTGACCACTTGTGTATTGTACAAGCAGAGAACCGAGGCTTTCATGTTATCATCCTGCTCCCTGGTAATCTCATTCTGCAATCTCTGCTTTTTCATTGCCATTTTCAGATGTTTAATGAAGCAACACTTGGATATGAGATACCCCTGATATTTCTTTTGCCCAGTCTCCATTGTTTTCAACCTCAGAACTACTGAATAAATGGAAATATATTTACCAGGCCTGCTTTGCACTCCCTGAACAGAACTCCCTCTGGAGGCAATGAGAAATGAGGCTAACATGGACAATCCAGGTGTAAGTCTCCTTTTTTTCTCCACATTACCTGTGTGGAAGAACACGGAAAGAACACATTCACAGTTAATAGGCCTTGTCTGCTCTAAGCCAAATATTACCATTAGAAAAGTGTTTCCTAAATGAAGAATCTATGTTTACACTCCGCCACATCCATTCCCTTACCTAGCTGCAAGTACCAGCAGAACTCCAAGACATAAATGTGCCACACTCTGCACACAGGTAGGGATGTGCCCAAGAAAGCCATGCTAAAGATCATTTCTCCCCATTTCCAGCTCAAAGCTGCCCCACTGACCTTTTCTTCCCACCCAGCCATCTCAAACAACAGGAATGATCAGGCTAGCACACTGAAGGTCAGCAACATCAGCCCTGTCCATTTTCCCCTTGCTCACAAGCTCACACACATCCTTCCCCTCCCCAGGATCACACTCAGCCCACTGGTCTGCGAGAGCATACATTAGAGGGAATTTTAATGACTTGAACTCGTGCTGAACTTCCTCTTTTAGCTGCTATTTTAGTGATTTGTTGACTCTCCAAGGCTCATTCAGGACTTTTTTCTTTTTAGCCCTGACAGAGTAGCTAGAGTAGACATGGATTTTATGTGCCAACTCTTCTGTATTTTTGGCACTCTGCTCGTCACATAGCAGGGCAGTGAAATACAAGTTCAAGAAACAGAGGATGCCTCCCACATATATCTGTGATGTCTCAAAGTAGCCTAAACTAATCTCTTCCTCTCTTCACCATTAGCAGTGATGCTAAGCTGGAAGCAACGGCTGAGGATGATTTAGCAGCCACACAGAATCTTAATAAGATCTACTTACATTTATATTGTCCATTTCAGGCTGGCTGGCTGTTTCCTTAGCCACAGCCTCACAAAAGGAGCTGAGTGCACTGTTTCATTTTCTGTGAGCTTTTTAATTATTTCAGCATTGTCTCTGATTTTTGTATCAGCCATCTGCAAAGTGTGGCAGGATGTGTGTAATCTTCTGCGGCACTTGTTGTACTTTCTCCATTATTATCAGATGGGAAAGAAAACCAAAGTTAAGGGAGATTAAGGTCAGCTACTCTCGACATCCAATCGCTGTATAATCCACTGTGCTATCGCCAGGGAAGATTATCAGCCTTGATAGGGACCATTCTTTGAGCCATTCAGCTCTGTGGCAGCCCACTTCTCTGGCAGAATGGCATTTCTGCTCCATCTGAAGGCAGAGGAATCATACAGAAATTTTCCACCACGTCCCAGTAATGTGCAGCAAGAGAGTGTGCAGGGCACAGGAGAGGTGCTTCACTGCAAAGGCACCATGCCTTGTGCCCTGTGCCATGCTCTGTGCTGTGCCTTGTGCTGTGTTCTGTGCTTTGTGCAGTTTTCTGTGCCCTGTGCTGTTCTCTGTGCTGTGTCTTATCCTGTGACCTGTGCTGTACCTTGTGCTGTGTGCCCTGTGCGCTGTTCCCTGTGCTGTTCTCTGTGCTATGCCCAGTGCTGTGCTCTGTGCCCTGTGCTGTACTGTGCCCTGTTCTGTGCCCTGTGCTGTGCCAGAGCAGAAGCAATGCAGTTCTGCCCCACCAGTCATCTGGAGACAGCCCCTCCCCTCTCAAGCCCCTAAAACACCACAGGGTGAAGGAGAGAGCAGCAGCTGCACTGAGCAAGGGCTCCCTGCCAGCCAGGAAGGTGTTCCTGGGCTGGATGAGGCCTCACCAGGCACAAATCCCATGCTGTTTCTTGCAAAGGGCTCACAGGCATGATTTTTTTGATGTTAAATGGACCAAAGAATTATCTGAGGAGGGTGAGGCACAAAGTGCAGTGCGCTTGGGATGAGTGACTCCATGCCCTGCCTCCAGTCTCCCAGCAGAGATGTGTGACATTCCAAAAAATACCCTGAAATGCATTATCTCCTAGCAGGAGCAATGAATCTCTCTCTAGTAGGACTATAACTCAGCAGACACGCTTCATCTACCAAAGTTCAGTGAGGCTGGGCCCCACACAGCTCTGAGCAGCACCACAGTGACCTGTTAATGGTCTCTGCATGTCTCTGTGTGATGGCAGAGAGCAGAGACAGGACCAGCAGACGCTGGGCTCTGCCACCCCCTGCATGGCTAAAACACCTCCATGGCTCAAGAGCAGCCAGAATACCCCATATTTCAGGATAATTTTCCTGTTTGTAGTTAATGTATGGAACTATTTTCCAACTACCTTAACCCCCAGTTTGTTATCCACTCCCAACAAGCTGATGAGTGCTGCTCTTCCAGGAGATGTCTCTTAGCAACAAAGGCTCATCAGCTCCCTCCAGCTCCATGCTGGGGCTTCATCAGGGATGTCAAAGGAAGGCAAGATGGAAGAGCAGCTGCTGACCCCGGGCAGGCAGCATTCAGCTCCAGGAAACTCCCTCTCAATTATCACATTGTGCACAAGTGAATGAGGACTCTTTGCAGGGGACAGAGCAGGAGGCACCATTGCTTTCCCACAGGAAGATCCACCATGGATTCCAGAAGCCCATGCCTCACTGCAAGCCTCTGCTGCAGAATCTGCTTCTGAAAAATCCCTGCAGGCCTGCAGCAGGAAAAATGCCAGAGGGTGATTGCAATTTGGTCACACCAACACCTTCACTTGCTCCTGGGGCTTTTCAATCACTTACCAGTTACTTGTGTCACACCTATGCCTTAACAGTCCAAATTCCACGGCTCCTTTCCATGGATTTCCACTTATTTTTTTGTTTTCAATTACTTGGGATGGCAGTACTCACTTTCTGCATCCATATCTTAAATACTGTGGATAACGCATGGGGCAGGAATGGAAACTTCAAAACTGATGGATCTGGAACTGAGCAAATGAGAAACCAAAGCCAATACTGTGGAAAGAATCAAAATAACACAATTACAGCAAGCTACAAGCAAAGGAGGAATAAAAATTCATAAAATACTTCCATTGTTGGAAAACACAAGGCAAATAATCCAAACAAACCAACATGTTACATTTTAAAAAGTAAAGTATTTCATTTCAGCATCATCCAAATGAAGCTTGTAGCTTTTTCTCTCCAAAATCTTTTTGGTGTGTAATTCAGTTTTAAAAGGAAGAATGAAAGGGGTTTTTTTAAGGATCAGACCACATACAAAGCAGCTACAGCATCCTTTGGTTAATCCAAAAATGATTCTGAAGCCATGGGTATCCCCTTTGAAAAATGAGGATAACTGGGGAGAGACGGGACCCACCTCATGGAATGGGGCCAGAAGAAGCCAATATCCTACTGGGGACAGCAGTCAGTGAAATCCACAGGGACTGGATACTGAAGCCCACAGGAGAGCAGGTGGAGGTAGGGAGGTAGAACATGTGCAAGGGGAAAACCCTGAAAAGGACCTGAGCTTCTAAATTACATAAAGATCAATTAAAACCACAGATAACATTTTGCTACATTGCTTTCTTGGGCAGTAAATGACTGTAGCTGTCATGAGGAAGGAAAATGAGGATGATGGGAGGAGAGGCAGACAGTGAAGCAATTAAAACAAGTTTTTTTTCCCAGAAAAGATGTGGAGAGCTGAGAGCCAGGTTCTGACTGTGTTCCTGGGAAAGTTCTGCTTTCTGTCCCAGGGTTTCCTGCCAGAGAAGAGATCACCACTAATGTCACAGAATGTGTCACAGCTCTGCTCAGAAAGCTGGAAAGCAGCAGCCAAGGCTGAGGGGTGCCCAGACCTGCCATGCAAACAGGAGGTGTGTGAGAGCAGCCAGGTCCAGGACAAGGTTCCCCAGCAGGAAGGGACTGTCCTGGAGCCAGTCTGGGGAACCTTCCTGGTGCCAACCTTACAGCTACGGTAAGGTCTTCATTCTGGTAGACTTTTAAGTATTTTCTTGTATCTTTAGCATTGCTGCATCATATATAACTGTACTTTCATGCTTGGGTAGCAGCAGTAATAGATCAGCATCAATATTTCTTGCATCTAATCTCAGGAGAAAAGGTTTTATTAAATCATTAAATAAAATTGTCACGTGGTCTGCCTTTACAAAATCATAAAAAAAAGCTCAGATTTAGAACTGAACCACCAGTGGGAAAGAGTGGGAAAACAGTCATGAGCACTGTCCCAGAGCAGCTGAGCTAGATGGTGCCATACACAAATTCAAGACAAGAAGAGAGAAAAAGAAAAGCAAAACAAAAGATCCTTTTGAATTAAGCCTTTTCTCACCTCTAACAAGGCTCTAGAAACAGCACCAATCAATCCAAATGACACTTTAGTATAGAGATCTATTATATTCCTCAATGATCATATGGCTTTATATGTTATAATTTGGTTCTGAATTATGACCTACATCAATTATAATTGAATGCTGCTTCCCACTCTACAATCAGACTGTGATGAGAACAGAAAGGCAGTGGACATTAGAGGATTACTATCAGAACAACCTAATTTAATTAAGGAGGAGATTTATTAAAATGGTAACATTAACAGGTGTTTTATGAGACTAATAATTAATAAGGTTTCTGTAGAACATTTGTAAGAGAAATAGACAATATGCACTGGCAGCAGAACTCCCTGTAATGGGATAACAATAAAGCATTAGGAACTGCAGATAAGACATTGTGATAATAATCTGATACTGTAAATTATGGTTTGAAAAGGATTAAATATCATTACTGCAAATTAGTATTTATTGCAAATTAGTATTTATTTAATCTCCAGCAGGCCTTTGCACACTGCCTGGAGGAAAGGTGGGCTGTGGACAGGCTCTCCAGCAGGGACACTTGATGTTCTCCTGAGCCCCACTGCATTGAGTTGGGACCTGCCAACATAGCACTAACACTGCCAGTGTCCACCTAGGAAACCACACTGGGGCTGTGAGGGAGAATTTCTTGACAGTGAAGTTCAGCAACTGCATTTTGAACTTTCTGAAGTTACCTTCAAGCTCTGGACACAGCCCCAGGCTGCTTCCCAAGCTGCAGGCTCAGATGTGGTCCCAGGGCCAGAGGTGTCCCCTTGGGCTCCAACTCTCCCAGCACACAGGACAGAAATGTGGAATGGCAGGGCTGATTTCTCCCTTCCCATCGCAAAACCTGCAGGTACAGCAAGAGGTGAATTCCAGAAGCATGAGGAGGGAAAGTGGGGAGTGGGGAGAAAAGCAGGAGGGAGGAGTGTGCTCTCACAGCACAGAGCAGTGCCCCAGCTCACTGAAGGGAGTGGAGAGAGAAAACAGCCCCAGGTTCTTTTCTGGAAATGAAGGGGCTGAGGGGTTTTGCCAGGGTTACTTAGCAATTTACTGTTCATGTTAACACCTTTCTTAGCTCTAGGCTTTAAAAAGTTTTATCCCAGCCCTGGCCCTGGCGGCCCCCAGGTAAGAGGTGGGAAACAGCCACAGAGCACAGAGCACTTTCTCTAAACAGCTCCAGTCCCTGACACAGTGATGGAAGAGGATATTAGCAGTGGGAAATTTTTTCAAGGCCAGTACTTTAATGAGCTCCTAAATAATGACTTTATCTTAGAGGCACACTCAATACTCATTCAGCATTGCACCAGAACAAAACCACTGCCTGACTTCAGCCAACAGCAAACCAGTCCAGAGGAAGCAGGGATGGGGCAGGGCACTCCCCTGGCTGGGCCCAGGGTGGGAAAGGTCCCTGGTGTGGCAGAAGGTGGAGTGGGCTCTGTTCCCCCCTGCCAGCTGAGCTGCCACTTGTCCTGCTCACTGCCACCTGTCCTGCAGCAAGGCAAAGATGCCCAGGCTCTGCTTTCCCACTCTTTCCCTCTGATGGCTCAGTTCTAAAGCTGAGCTTTTTTTTATTATTTTGTAAAGGCAGACCACGTGACAATTTTATTTAATGATTTAATAAAATCTTTTCTCCTGAGATTAGATGCAAGAAATCTTGATGCTGATCTATCACTGCTCCTACCCAAGATTGAAAGGGGATGTTCATG